TTCTTCATCTAATGTTGCCATGTTATCAATGGATGACATAATTTGAGTTATGAACCTCCCTTTCAGTATCTCAAAAACGAAGGTCTATGGGCTTGAATCTCCTTCAGCCAAAAAGAGAGAAAAATATCAAGTTTGCTCCGAAGCCTCATCAGATTAAAATAAATCTGTGTTCCACCATCTTGAATCCCTGTGAAGTAAACAATGGGATGAAACTTAAAGCTTACCATAGTATGAGCAGCAATAAACTGTACACTTTCATCTCTTAAGTCATTATTACTAAATTTAACAGCAGCTTGTATAATATCACAGGCATTACTTGTATTTAATATTTCTATTAAATAATCTGTAGTCAACTAAAATATACAAAATACTATAAGTTACTGCAGCTTGTATAATATCACAGGCATTACTTGTATTTAATATTTCTATTAAATAATCTGTAGTCAACTAAAATATACAAAATACTATAAGTTACTGCAGCTTGTATAATATCACAGGCATTACTTGTATTTAATATTTCTATTAAATAATCTGTAGTCAACTAAAATATACAAAATACTATAAGTTACTGCAGCTTGTATAATATCACAGGCATTACTTGTATTTAATATTTCTATTAAATAATCTGTAGTCAACTAAAATATACAAAATACTATAAGTTACTGCAGCTTGTATAATATCACAGGCATTACTTGTATTTAATATTTCTATTAAATAATCTGTAGTCAACTAAAATATACAAAATACTATAAGTTACTGCAGCTTGTATAATATCACAGGCATTACTTGTATTTAATATTTCTATTAAATAATCTGTAGTCAACTAAAATATACAAAATACTATAAGTTACTGCAGCTTGTATAATATCACAGGCATTGCTTGTATTTAATATTTCTACTAATAATCTCTAAAATATACAAAATACTATAAGTTACTGCAGCTTGTATTTTATCACAGGCATTATTAATATTTCTATTAACTAATCTGTAGTAAACTAAAATATACAAGATACTATAAGTTACTGCAGCTTGTATAATATCACAGACATTACTTGTATTTAATATTTCTATTAAATAATCTCTAAAATATACAAAATACTATAAGTTACTGCAGCTTGTATAATATCACAGACATTACTTGTATTTAATATTTCTATTAAATAATCTGTAGTCAACTAAAATATACAAAATACTATAAGTTACTGCAGCTTGTATAATATCACAGACATTACTTGTATTTAATATTTCTATTAAATAATCTGTAGTCAACTAAAATATACAAAATACTATAAGTTACTGCAGCTTGTATAATATCACAGACATTACTTGTATTTAATATTTCTATTAAATAATCTCTAAAATATACAAAATACTATAAGTTACTACAGCATGTATTTTATCACAGGCATTATAAATATTTCTATAAACTAATCTGTAGTCAACTAAAATACACAAAATACTACTAAATGCATTTGGCTAGGTGCAGTTACCACATAAAATCTACAAAATAGGTAAAATGTAAATTGCCTTAAATCTATTGAAACCATAATCCAATTAAAAAAGTGATTTATCTCCCTTGAATGGAAAAAGACTCAATATATTTGGCCTTCTGTCTACTGCCTTATAATTTTATGATTAGAACTAGCCTTCCAGCTCTGTTACTTTGACATTCATTCTTGAGTATTTTCCTTTGTAATAGCATCTCCAAAAGATTTTAGTGCA